CTTAAGCACAGTCCTTTTATTTTAATGATTATGTTCTGCTGGAGTGTGACATGATTTGTTTGTGTACAAACTAATACAGTATCAGAGTTTTATATATTTATACTTCTCATTCAACCACAATTAAATTCACTCTAATCTAGGAGGCAGTTTATATGGATAGTTTTTGTTTTTTTACTATAACAAGTTGGAATAAAAACAAGCAAAAAATGAAATAAAAGTAACAACTTTCTGCTTATTGTCTTTTTTATAAATGTAAGAATTAAAAAGTAGGCTGAAAAATAATTACTCAAATTAAGTACAGATACCCAAAAATTCTACTTAAGTACAGTAACAAAGTATTTGTACTTAGTTACTTTACAACTCTGCATATTAATACATGATCTTCTGCACTTTATAGATGGCATTTGCTCTCTGGTGTTGCACACTTACTGTAGCTCCATTTAAAATGACAAAGTTAAAAAATTAATAGACTGTAGTTTTCCCTTTAGGAATTAGAATCTAGAAACTTTCAGGACCTAAACCTATTTCACTTTGCAGCTTGAAAGGTCAGAATGCAAACAAACAAATGATTCAAAGAGCAGATTTTAAAAGTTGTCTTTTCTTTACATTAAAGAGAAAAACGACTGGTCCTGTCTTCTTGAGGTTTATGAAGACAGAGAGACCTCAGAGTGAAGCTGGAATTATAAATATTACTTTGGTAAGAAGCCATATGGAAGCAAAACAACGAGGCAGGGAGGGGTGAGGGAGCTTGAGAGCCAGTCTTGGACTCCTGCGCTGCTCAGCGCTGCATGATGCAGACACCAGAGGAGGAGGAGGAGGAGAGGAGGAGCGAAACATTGAACAGACTGGCTGAGGCTTGCAGCTCAGTCTCTTCGCTGAGCTTCGCAGAGCAGCTTCTCTTTGCATGTGTTACTCCTTTTTTCAGCACTTTTCCACTGAGCTGACTGAACAGCAGCAGAGGGAGTCACTGGCTCCAACTCGTTCTGCATCATGTTACCCTGGAGGAGGAATAAGTTTGTTCTGGTGGACGATGAAGCAAAGAGTAAGCCCAAGAGTCTGACCTACCACTCCATCCTCTCGTCGTTACTCCGCTCCTGTCCTGACTTGATACCAAACTGCCCCTTTGACTGGGTGGGCAGCATCTTTCATACCAAACGACAAAAGGTGGAACTGAACAAAGAGGAGCCTGTTTACAGCGTGCGTTACCTCGGCAGCGTGGTCACCATCACAGCAAAGGGAGATGGTTGCACGCAGGAGGCAGTGGCCAAAATCTGGGCGCGGAGCAACTACGGAGAACAAAGTGTGAAGATGAGGTTAACGGTGGGGTCACAAGGCATCCGAATGAGCGCGGACAAATCTGGGAAAAAGAAACCCATCCATTTGTACTCTCTGAACAGAATCACCTACTGTGCAGCTGACCTCTGCCGGCCCAAAATCCTGGCTTGGATCTACAGACACCAGGTCAAGAACATGGCCGTGGTGCTGCGGTGTCACGCCGTCCTGGTCGGCAAGTCGGAGAAGGCTCGAGCCATTGCCCTCAGTCTGTACCAGAACGCCACCTCTGCCTTCAGTGAGTTTAAGRGGCTGAAGCGTCAGAGTGACTTCCGGCACTGCCAGCAGCAGCTGATGGGTGATGAAGCGGTGCCCCTGATGCCACTGAGGAGGCTGCTGAACGGGCAGTGCCACTACAAACCGCCCGCTGAAAACCCCGGCAGCGCCACCCGACTGTGCTCCATCACAGAGGAGGAGGAGGAGGAGGAGGAGGACATCAGGGATAGGATTGAGGAGGAGGAAGATGCTGTTAAGCTGCAGGACAAACAGCGGGTTTTGACAACAAACACAGACCCAACTCAGTTACTCTCCGAGCTGGACATTGGGGATATTGCCCAACTGGAGCAGTGCCAAATCAACTTCATCAGCGACAGCAACAACAACATGTTTACCTTTATAACCTCTCTGGTGTGACGGAGGGYAAATGGCCTCTTTCCAAACAGTAACACATTCCTCTGTTTGCCCTCCTCTCAGGCTCCCCCATCCCATTCCATAATGTGAAGTGTTTACCAGAAACTTCCCCCTCCTCCGAGCGGTGCAGAAAAGACAGATGGTCCTTCAGTGGAAGGAAGCGCTTTTCTTACAAAGAGTGCCGGTGATGCACAGAACAGCGACAGCACAATGACGAGTGAGGACATCAGCGCTGACATGTACCTCACAGACTGATCCCAGCAGGATGGGCTTACGGCCCATTGCTCTTGTTTTCAGTGAATAACATGAAAGCTGTGTTTGCCAGCAGGGACTTATTTTTGAATCAACTTGTGATTGTTTTTCAGGAAGGTTCTTTGTAAATTTGTATATTTTTTACAATCTGACAATCAGTGAAAAATCAGCAAAGACTGTGCTTTCTGAGAGCTCACAGCCGTGAGATGTTTATTCTGGTTCTAATGATCCGAGCCAACTAAAAAAAGGCTATAATTTAGGAGGTAAGCCATTGTGGTTGTTTGTTARAGTCCTTACTTCTGCATGCCCACCAACAACCTGTGCTTTTTTCTTCTGACATTTTAGATCCTTCAGCTTTTATTAGAAACACTGTGATAAATGTCTGAGCAGGGAAAAATACACAACTGTTTATGAAGCACCTTTTGCATTTTTTAAAATAAAACTGTCATTTTTCGTTTGAGTCATGTTTGCRACGTTGCACCCCTTTTAGCCAAGTTTTTCTAGGAGCACTTGCAAAAATGCCAATAAAACCCTCCAGCTTTCTTATCTGCGCTTCTTGTATGTTACTGTTTCCAGATGCAATGTGTTTGCTATAAGATGAAGCTATTATTTTCTAAATATGAATAATAAAAGTTGCACTCACTTGGTTTTCCTTCTTGAGTCTCGATGTTTAAAAAAAGATTATTCAAATGAATGCAACAGCCCTGCATTCCTCTGGTGCACATTTGCATGTCTGTGATGTGAAATGCCCAACGTTCACTTCAAACACACAGGAAGGAAAAAACTCACTTATGTATTCAAGAAAATCTGCACTTTGGACTTATAAATATAAAACAACAGTTTTTTTTAAATCACAAAACGTGTTGGCTCTAAACTGTCAGCTCAGATGTTATTGAGGCTTGATGAATTTCAMTTGCTCTCATTTTCCTTCGCTGTCAGGAGGGATAATTATTCAGCAAAAGGAAATGTTCAGAAACAAACAGAAAGCACCTGCTTGTGTGTTTGACCAAGTCATCCAAAACAAGGACAGAGGAAGTTGACTCACACATCAACATTTTTAGAGCCGGAGGCATCCATTTTATTAGCACTGACTTACATGATGAAGATATTTTCTGACTAAATCTGAGGGAGTTTTACAGCTTTGCTCTTTATCATCAACAGCTTGAATATTTCATGTTTCTGCTAGCATCTTATCACAAATCACCTCACCGCAAGAAATTCTTAAATACTGTGAAGTTATTCATTTTTACTGCCCAAAAAGTATACTATTAAAGCTACTGTCTCACAAAACAACAATAAAAGCTGTTTGATTGAAGCCTCCCTCACACTTGAAGACATCACTGGTCCAAAATGAATGGATTGTTCTTGGTAAGGTCTTGTGTTTCTTGTTGAACCAGTGGGATCCATGTTTTATTTTTTATTTATTTAAAAAATATTAATTTCATTTAAATACAAAACAAATGCTATACATACAACAAATAATAATACAACACAAATAAAATGAAAGGTAGCAGAAAGAAGAAATTTTTTATTGATATCTGCCCCTTTTTCAAAAATAAATAAATTGAAACAATAATAGTCTTCAAATAACAAAACATAAAAACTTTAACTCCTTCTCGAACAACAGTTCTTATGAATGCACATTATACAAATTCATATTTCTTCAACAATCTAACTTTTATCAGTCTCTTAAAGAAATTTATTGAGCCAGCATTTTTATAATCACTTTCCAGATAATTCCACAATCTTATTCCTTGGACTGAAGTAAATCGATCCTTCAAATTTGTTCGAATTTTGGGCTTTACAAACATCTCTACACCCTTAAGGTTATATTTGCTCTCTTAACAAAATTTAACTGAATATTTAAGGGTAATAAATTTTTTATGAGCTTGATACATACAGTAACCTGCAAAATATTATGATCAACCAACTCATAAAATTTCAATAATTTCACATGTCTTGTGTTAGAGAATTATAAGCTGTCAATGGATTGGATCATGAACAGGATCTACACAGTAAGGCAGTGTAGGAAGGTTTCCATGACCTGTGTGCACCTCTGTGGTTTAGTTATTAGTGTGGATGTTGCTGATTGGTTCAGGGAGTCGTTCTGTAACCAGTGGGTTCAAACTCCCATTCTGTKCGCCTCCATTGTTGCGTCCTTCACTTCCTGATGGTGGTGCCGGTGCAGCGCCTCTGTCAGTCTGTGCCCCAGGGCAGCTGTGGCTACATTGTAGCTTACCATTAGTGTGTGAATGTAAAGGTCCTTGAATTTTAAACATCATCAAAAATAATTTGTGCAACACATTTTTAGTAGTAGACATCTTAAACTTGTCTCAAACACTTCTCAGTTTAGTTAGTTCATTCAGGAGCGCTGGAGCTGTCCAGGACTAGCCTGGTCCTCGTCGTCTTAAACAGTTCTGCTCAATTATTGTTTCTGCTCCATCTGGGATTTCTCCCACAGACAAGGATTTCTCCAGTAGGATTTTAACCAGGCCAATCAGTGAACAGAAGGAGGAGTTGTGAATGACAACATTGCACCCCCCCCCCCCCCCCAGCTGCTTCTTTCGCGGGTGTTTTTTGGGCGCATGCTCGTGTGTTTATATAAAGAACACAAGATCAAAACTCTTTTTTAAACTCATCCTTCCTTGTGTGTGTATTCTAAACTGTAAGGAAGTGCACGTTGTTGCAAATGACCGTGGACATTCGTTSTCCCATGTTTGTGTGTTTCTCTCCGGACGGATGTACTAAACTGCAAATTCCTTGTGTGTGTAAACATACTTGGCCAATAAACCTGATTCTGATTCTGATTGATTTTCTGCTGTTTTAGTCCACCTGTCGTTTAGTAATGACAGAGGAGGAAGTGAATGAAGTCAGTCCATGTTGACAAGACTTCCAAATTAAATTAAATTTGTATCTCAAAGCATGCAGCTCTCATTTAAAGCCGTCTCGTTCGGATCAGTACTCCTCTCCTCTGCCTGGCACGCTCCTCATATGATCCAGTGCAGGGATCATATGAGGTGCCTCTGCGCTTCCTTGATCCCATCGACAGGTGTTTGGTCCCTGTCCCCAGCTGGGATGACTCGGACCTGGTTCAGATGCGTGACCCCCTCTCTCTGAGGCTCCGCCGGCGCGGGACTAATCTTCACAATCTGAGGATGCTACCTCGTGTTCAGCGATCTCTCGGACCACAGGCTCTAGCTCTGACTGAAAATCGGCCTGGTCAACGCCAGATCGCTGGCAAATAAGACATTTATTTTAAGAGATTTATTCAACTCTCAGGATCTGGACTTCCTCTGCGTAACGGAGACATGGATGAGCGCTGGTTGAGTGCAGCCCTCTAGTAGAACTGGTAGCTAACTGCTTTTGAGGTTGGTCGCTCCCACCCGGTGCTTTGCGCCATCGTTTACCGGCCTCCGAAATATATTAAGGACTTTTTAAGTGACTTTTCAAACTTTCTAGCAGAGGTGATGCCAAACTTTGATCGTGTCCTCCTGGTTGGTGATTTTAATCTTCATGTCTGTTGCCCTGATAAGCCCATCACGAAGGACTCCCCAAATATTGTGGACTCTTTTAGTTTGAAGCAATGTGTTTCTGGTTCCATTCATAAGCATGGTCACACATTAGACTTGGTTTTCTCCCAAACTGTAAAAAATGAAATGTTGGATTTACTTAGCCATGTTATGTGACCTGGTTCCACTTAACTGAGTTGAGAAATTCAAAGCAATATACCAGTTTTTTAACCAAAGAACATGAGCATGTTGTTTTGAATTTACTCAACTCAGTTAAGTGGAACCAGGTCACATAACATGGTTAAGTAAATCCAACATTTAATTTTTAGAGTGATATGTCCAACTTAAAAATTGGTTATTGTGTTTTTTTCTGATCACGCTCCAGTGTTATTTTGACCCCTCTGTCTCTGTTTCATGCCCAGCGGTGTTAAACGGATTTGAGCCGGTGACTCTGTCTCTGTTGGAGGGTCTGGTGGCCCATATGAAACCATCTGGTTCCCCTCATGATGTGGTCCCTCCCCAKTTTTTTAAACAGGTTTTTTCTACTATTGGGCAGACGGTTCTGACTACCATAAACAGCAGCCTGTCCTCTGCTGTCCCTGTCTGCTTCAAACACGCAGTAGTACAACCTCTGCTGAAYAAGCCTGGCRTRGACAACACTGTTCTGGCAAACTTCAGGCCCATCTCCAAGCTCCCATTTCTTTCTAAAATCCRAGAGAAAATTGTCTACACACAATTAAAATATTTTCTTGAGGAGCATAACATTATGGAGGTTTTTCAGTCTGGTTTTAAAACATTGCATGGCATGGAAACTGCCCTTTTAAAACTTTTTAATGACTTTTTAATAGCAAATGATAGTGGCAACTTTGTTGTTCTTTTCCTTCTAGACTTGACTGCTGCCTTTGACACTGTGGATCACTGCATTCTGTTGAATCGTCTTCAGCAGTTAGTGGGCATTGGTGGAAGCYCCCTGGACTGGTTTAGGTCATATTTGGCAGACAGGACTATGTCTGTTGGGCTTGGGGCTTGTAAATCCTCTACTGTTCCATTCTTATATGGGGTTCCACAGGGTTCGGTACTGAGTCCCCTGCTTTTCTCCTTGTATATGCTTCCCTTTGGGTCTGTCCTCAGAAAACATGGTGTCGCTTTTCATTGTTATGCTGATGACAGCCAGAAATACGTCTCTTTGCAGAAAAGTGATGCTTGTTATCTTAAAACCTTGCTGCCATGTCTTGATGATGTTAAAGCTTGGTTGACCCTGAYCTTTTTGAGTTTTAATAAGAAGAAAACAGAGGTGATTGTGTTTGCCCCTAGCAGCTCCTGTGTGTCCCCCCTGTTGATTTGGGTCCCTTGGTAGGCTATGCAAAGTCTACTGTCACTAATTTGGGTTTTAAGATGGATAGTAACTTTAAGATGGACAGCCAAGTTAGTGCTGTAGTGAAGTTCAGTTTTTTCCACCTCAGACAGCTTGCAAAGTTGAAGCCTTTTCTCTCGCACCAGCACTTTGAAACAGTAATCCATGCCTTCATCACCTCTCAGCTGGATTACTGTAATGCACTTTATGTTGGAGTTAGCCAGRCTTACCTTGCACGGCTCCAGTTGGTTCAGAATGCTGCTGCTCGTTTGCTAACTGGAACACGTAAGAGGGAGCACATTACACCCATTCTGGCTTCCCTCCACTGACTGCCTGTGCATTTTTGAGTTCGTTTTAAGGTTCTTTTATTTGTTTTTAAATCTTTACATGGCCTTGCCCCATCTTACCTCTCCAAGCTTCTCCACCCCTATGCCCCTGCACAGTATCTCCGGTCAGCCGATCAGTTGCGCCTTAAAATATCCAGAGCAAAGTGAACCCTCAGAGGGGATCAAGCATTTTCAGTTGCTGCTACGAAGCTCTGGAACGAACTACCCCTACCCGTCAGGCAGACATCCTCGTTGCCTGTTTTTAAAACTAATCTTAAAACTTATTTTTATTCACTGGCTTTTAACACAGTTTGAGATAATGGTCTGTTTTAGCTGTTTTTTGCTTGTTTTTAATGTTTGAGTGTTTTTAGTGTTGATTTGTTTTATTGTTTTCGACCCCTCATGTACAGCACTTAATGTCAGCGGCCGCTGTTTTAAAGCGCTGTATAAATAAAGTTGA